TTCCGATTGTTTTTCCGTCATCAATTGGTCGCTAGAGACTCGTCTGCAGTTAACAGGGTCTATCTGTAGGAAAGCAGAAAGGTTGTGGAAGAAAAATTTTTGAACGTATTCTTATTCACACCTCTTAAAAAATTAAAATATTAACTTCGTCTTAAGATTTTACTCTACGTGAATCTTGTGTTCATTGATTAATAAAAACATTCACTTTGTACTCGTAACTTGTAAACATTTCTTTTAAATTGGCTGCAAACTTGTTTGCCCAGCCAAAAGGCCATTCCCGATTCATTGTACGATCGTCGACTAGTTACTCGTTAGGCTAAACTAACTGTTCGGCCTTAAACGACCACGTGCTATCTATACCGTTCCCTTCCTCTGACTGCGTTCGTGTAAGGCACAACCAGCATATACGGCAAACGCGACTCATTTAAGCAAAAAGCAATCGTGCTCTGAATCGGCATTCGTTCATTACTCCACCCTATTCATTACCCGTTGGCTAAATAACTAATGGCTGGTGTCTTACACGTCTCAGAGAGCAGTTATTTTCAATGAAGTTCCATGTTCGCGGGAGAGTAGGCGTCTCTCGCGAGCATGGAACGGAAGTTCACGTAATATTAATATCACTTGTAGTGAGACGGTTGATTCAATGTCAGTGAATACTGACTGTGTTTACCAAAGAAGATTAAGCGTCTCGAGCATAGTGTAGTTTCGTAGCACGTATTATAATATATAGTCTAAGAATTTTTAAAGTTTAAAAAATATTGGCTTAACTTTTGACTGCCATTTAGTAACGCCCTTTATAACTTTATATTGGGCATAAGATGATAGCAATAAAGTTTTACCACAAATAAAAATAGGTATTGTAAAATAAATATACAAGTACTAATAACATCAAATCTTTCTAAAAACAACTTAAATAGAAAAAAAATCACCTTATTGGAAAACACTTATATTTTAAATTTGATTTTTATCTGTTATAGTCCAGCTTTCCTTACGTATGTTTTCCTGCGCCTTTAAATACGAGGTTAATCAACACTTGAAACTCCAAGTAAAAAATATATAATCTCTATCTTAATATATATAAATTAGATGTCACATTGTCCACGATGGACTCCTAAACTGCTTAACTGATTTTAATCAAATTTGCACACCGTGTGCAGTTTAGTCCAACTTGAGAGATAGGATAGTTTTTTTGCTTATGAGTGACCCACAAATTTTTTTTGCGAATTGAAGTTTTTTATAGGACATGCCAAAGGTTCGTCGAAAAGGGCAGAACAACGTCTGCCTGGCAAGCTAGTATTCTATAGTTTTATTTCACGACGCCTGAAGAACGAATTAGGATGTTGGATTTTATCACGCAACTAAGTAATTAATGCACTTATAGACATATATTTTAAGCAATTTATCAAATCATATCAAATAATGTATGTTGTAGTAATATATATATATATATATATATATATATATATATATATATATATATATATATATATATATATATATATATATATAGAAAGAAAAACATATGACATGGAAAAAAAGATATTCTTACATATTCATATTAATTTTACTATTTATTGTGAAAAAGAGCAATCTTAGTGATATATCTTATGGAATAACACAGGTTTTCATTTTTCAATCGGGACCGTGCTCTTCGATCAACCGGACGTAGAGCAATATACATAAACACTCTCAATGATAATAATTGTTAAAAATTCATGAAGGTTTTATCACACAGGCAAAAAGTATTGATTGAAAACGAAATAATAAAATGGACCATATTTTTTATTTATACACAAGCATATTATATTTTATACACAAGCCTATACGGTTAAGTTAAGCCTTACAACAATTTATAAGAAATTTAATAATTTAACCCAAAGAGCTTAATCCGAATGATCCCAGTAGAATTAAAACGTAGTGATTAATTCACTACTTAATCACTACGTTTTAAATCTACTGTCAACATACTGACGTTTGCTTTTGGCTTTTATCCCAAAACTATAAATAATTATGTAGGTATATATGTAATGGGTACTTTCTGATAAACAGTGCGAAAATATGGTATATTCCCGCTGCGGCGCATTTTGAAACGACGAATCACAATCATAATTTCTCGTGTTTGGCGGCCTAAGAGAATTCATAAACAAACGTCCCTTGACGGTCGTAAGAGACGACATTAAGAAATTCCAAAAAAAGCCTCATGCCGTCTGTGAGGTAGAAATATAATAATTTTTATAGGATAAGGGTGACCAACAAGCACACAGTCCAGGTAAGTGAATGTTGTGGCCCATAGAGATCTAGGTTTATCCTCGATTAAAAAAATGCAGATGAGATGTCAACCCTGAGGACTAAGATTAAATGCCACTTTCCAGTAAAGAGGGTCTCCGGTCCTCTAAACTCACTATTCGAAACACAGATCTTAAGTTACTATTTTACGCTGGTATTCTGTGAGAGCGTTGTTCCTTACGAAGAAGAAGATTAATTCACTTCACTTTGTACCCCTACCCCACTATTACATATTATAAAATAAATACCTAAACAGAAGACGTAGAGCGACGTGAAACGTCTGGTATTATATATATGACAAGCTTCGATCTGTACCAGCATTATAAACGTGTAATTTTAAGTGTTAATTCACCATGTCCTTGGCGGAAAACAAAAATATCGCAATAAATCCTGCATGTCGGAGGAATTATAAAAATTCCGAAAATATAACCTGAATTCTGCCAATGCTAATAGCGGCAGCACGTCACAATCTTTTGTACCTTAAGGGGAAATATAACCTCAAATGGCTTAGCAAGATCCTCCGTTATGCCGAAAATATTGCAGCATTAATTTTGAAATAAATATATGGTAATATTGAGGATTAATGTTAAGGACTATGTTAGACGAAAACATGATTCCATAAAATTTTCTCGATAGAAAAAAAATCCAAAATTACCTTCAAACTGAACAATAAACCGCTGTTATTCATAAAATACTTTAAATAAGATCATGAAGCTTTGCATACTAACTGAACTAACTATAAAGCAGTGCTCATGTTATTTACTTTTTTTTTAAAATACCATTATTATCACTGTAAAAAGAAATTACCTAAACTATCGGCGTCTTGACTTGATTCCTGTCGCCCCGTTAGCCGTTAGTATCGCCTAGGCTTTTGAAGGTAGAAGTTGTGTCGCTTACGATCAGAATACACATTACGCAACAGCACGACGTAAAATTAAAATGGGAAATAACCGTGATAAAAATTAGAAGCGACTGGGTTGGCGTTAAGAAACAGGCATAAATATGATAAACCTAATGAAATAAGTATCTAACGACCTATCTCTTACAGTATAGTGAATACAAACATGTCGGTACATAGCATACGACGCGCGAGGAAGTGGGGGCGAAATTAGACTTTGTGCTGACTTACTATATCCCCTTAAAACTTGGTGAATAAGTGACCTGTGACCAGCTGTGGGACATTTTTTTGCATTACAGCCTATTGAAATCCACTACTAAACATAGGCCTCTCCCGTAGATTGCCTCAATGGTGGCCAATTTGCCATAGTTGCAACGCTTGGCTAGCGGGTTGCCAACCGCGGTTTTTATTTTTAGCCTTTATTAGGAAATGCTGCTCATCCTGATTTTGTGCCCCTCTGTTGCCTCTTACGATTTCGACGGGATGATATGGGGTAGCGGATATTCTTACACCGCTACACAGTAACTGCCAGACGAATGTATCTCTTATGTATCTTCTGTAGAAATAAAAAAATGTTTTAAATGGGCGATTATACAAGCAGTATATACAGTGAATTTCGGTTATAACGACGGCGGAGGGACCACTTTTTAATGTCGTCGCTATATCCGAAGGTCTCTATATCCGAAATAATAAAAAGTCATGTACATATTTACTTATCATTTATTTAATTATGTTGTTATACACGGGTGTAATTGCAAAAACGTGTTATAGTGCACTGTTTAAGTCTAGTTTTTTGTGCACGCTGTAAGGTGTATTCCATTTTCATAATTCCTTCAACATCTAAATTATTTTGGCCTTCACCAAATAAACAGTACTTTTTGAGCGTTGTTATAGCACATAATGCATCTCTAGTTGTTGGAATATCATTTAGATTGCAATCTTCTTCCTCTTTTTCATCCTCCTTTTCTTGTGTTTGAAGAAAAAACAAAGGATAAGAAAGCTTAATAGTTTTATGAATGAGTCTTTGTGCCTTTACCGACTCAGTCGCAATATCGGCAAGTGATTTCTAGGAATCGGTCATAATTGGTTCATAAAAACAAGTCGCTATACCCTAAATTGACGCTATAACCGAAGTCGCTATTACCGAATGAATTTCTTACGAAATTCAAGGGACGTAAGTTTGACGTCGCTACAACCAAAAAGTCGTTACAACAGAGATTGTTATTAATGAAATCCACTGTAGTTACTTTTAATGTCATGTGTACGTTACATTCTATAATGTTTGTATATTATAGAAAATGTAATAGATCTTATACATATAATAAATACCGACGGGGAAACTCACTTTTGAAAACTAATCTTAAACAGTAAGGTAGACTTGAGCAGAAACTGAAACACGTTAATCTTCATAGACGAAGAGTCCGTTAAATCCCATCGCTGGATATTGACCCCCCCCCCCCCCCGTAGTTGCAGTTGTAGGGACTAGGAGGCAGACTGACAAGCGCATCAGACTGTACGCACCTTCGACGCTCCCGCATCATCACATCGCCGCTCTAGATATTTTACGCATGGTGCTATGCCGCCATCTATCGGAAGCAATAAGCTCCTTATGGCCTATCCACAGAAATCTAAATAATAACCTTATTATTTAGATTTCTGTGGGCCTATCCCATAGTGAACTATGTGGAGAACTTTAAATGGTTATTACATAACTATCTAATGAACTTTTTTATTAATTCCTTCATAAGAGTTTTGTATCTACCCAAAATTTGTTGAAAACAAGACGTATAGCGTGATGTAGGGCTTGTATTTACAGTACACGGGTGCGGCGATGAGCGGCGGGTGCGGTGCGACTGGTGCGCGCGTGCCTACCGCCGCGTCACCAGCCAACACGGCGTCTTCCTCCTCGTCCAACACAGGGTCGGCGGGGGGGACGCGCTCTACCAGCCTTAGCACCGCCCCTCCACCGCCAGCATCCTCCGCCTCCACCACAGGCGCAGCCGGCGAGCAGCTGAGCCGCACCAACCTCTACATCCGCGGCCTCAGCCAAAACACCACCGATAAGGACCTCGTCCAGATGTGCCAGATGTAAGTAGTTTGCCTATTGTTTTTTATTAGGTACTTATTTATGCAAAAAAAAAACATAAATCGAATGAGTTACGCATTGATTTAAAACATAACCTAATGCGAATACGATTTCACATTTTTTTTTATAGAAGTGCAACACATTGCTCGTTATTTTTCTAGCTCAGTTGTAGTAAGTTTACACTTTATTTTTTCAGGTACGGCAATATAATTTCAACAAAAGCAATATTGGATAAAAATACGAATAAATGTAAAGGTAAACAACATTAATTTGTACCCTTTCCCCTCTTTTCCACTATCATAGTTAGTCTATATTTCCCGTATCTACATATGACTTCTAGTTGTCCAACCTTATCATTGCATAGATATTCACGTATGTATATGTAACCTATTCTTTAGAAAACTACGCAATACGTAACTTGAATATATTTGGCATTAAAGAAAGTTCTATTCGTAACTGAATAATATTACTATTTTCTAGAATACCATAATATCTTCATTAAAATAATTCATCTATGGTGAGAATTTTTCCAATATATGCACGATCTCTAGATTCGATTTTTATTAATGTTTATTAACTTTTTATATTAAGTATATGTTGATTTCATAAACTTGTTTTAGTAGCGTCATTATCACTATTTGTTGCACTCAAGCACAGACAATCTTAAAATTCATTGCAAAATATGTATCCATTAAAGTGTGCAAACTTTTCCGTACTTACCACATTCTCATCACGCTACTTTTTACTAGACAAGTAGGTTTAAGTCATATTTATGCTCATTAGTTCTGATGTTTAATAGTTATCTGTATCCTTTTATGTAATATATTTTTTTGTTTATTTAGATATACTCCATAACAGAGCATGAACCGTTTGACTTATTAAACAACGTTTAAATTTAACGGACGATTTAAGAACGTCGCACTATAAAATAATTTCACTTTTGTCTTGGCAGGTTATGGTTTTGTAGATTTCGAAACGATCGCGTCGGCGGAGGCAGCTGTTAAAGGATTACAAGCCAAAGGTGTTCAGGCCCAGATGGCTAAAGTGGGTATCTGGTTCCTGCGTAGACTGAACCGTGTACGTTGTGCATGCAAGTAATACTACTACGACTAACCGCCTGATCCTAATCCGCCCTTACATCCAACACCTTTATTATTTCTATACATTCCAGATATTTCAATTTTTATACCTACGTAATGCTTTGATTATTTTTTGAGAGGAAAGACTTCAAACCTATGTACAATCGTATACGTATGTATATATTTTATAGTCCCATGAGGTATTCTTCATTATCTTCTAGATTAAAAAAAAATTAAAGCTATGATTCCAGCTTATTTCTTAGTAAAAAAACTACCAAGAATAATGCTGTTGTGCTCATTTTCATGAATTTGTATGGAATTTTATGATAAAGACAAAAAATCAAATAATACCTCATATAAAATAACATATTACATTTAGTAATTAAATCTAGTCAAAATATTTATCCCCACCCGCCCCTATAATCCATCTACCATTACTTATAGCTTTAGTAATAATTTATAAAACTTATTTATATAATGTGCCGTGTATTATTAACATTAAGCCGTTAACCATTTCTTTGTAATATTCATATTTTGCTATTATGCATATTCTAGTATCCTATCGTTTCCTTCCGTGGAATACAAAATTTAAAATATACGTATTCCTGTTATAGCCACATGGGCTGTTGATGATCCTATATAGATTTTGTAGGTTCAATTTAGTGTTAAAATAAAATAATTAATAACAAAGTTGATAACGAAGCTAATGATCGTTTCATAACAATTTGTTAGTTTGTTATTGGATACCGACCCAACAGACACTTTCGTGGCAACTGAGACACTAATTCGTTGTAAGTATTTGCAATTCCTCTCAATGGTACGCAGTTCGGCGCCAGCATAACGCTTCCTAAATTTACTCGAGACATTGTTTCACTCTGTCAACACTTATACCGTTTGCTTTAGCGTTATAACAATGTACTATCGCTACTGGGCTCTGGGTATTTCTATGCTTTCAATATTAAATTAGTGTGTATGCGACTTTAACCAGCTTCATAATCTCTATGCTGATATATTCCCATGTTGTTGATAACACTTACGTAATAACCATAATACTTATTATATTATAGCATATTAGATTCTAACTGCTGATTTACGTCAGAGCTGGCTTAAGTGTCTAGATTATCTATGCGGGCTTCAAAGCTAATTTCAATATACATATTTCGAAATATCTTTCATTTTCTTATTGATCACGTTGAAATTTACTTTATTTAGACAAAAATAAACTTATCATGTCTTGCTTCTTTTACCGACGTTTCCTGCTTTTACAAGTTGTTAAGCAAATTTCTCTTAATACAAATATTAGTTCTAAAATTAAAAAAATATATATTATTCAAAAGAATTAATTTTATTAATGTCTAAATCAAGATGCTACACATATGTGAATTTGTAAATTTAATTTTAAATTCAATGAAATAAAATAAATAAGTTGGTTGATCATGCTCTAATATTCTGAATGAATATAGAAACTATTGGAAGTAGCTGCTTCATCTGTGTCTTGGGGCGTATGTTTGCAGCAACAGGAGCAAGACCCCACCAACCTGTATATGGCCAATCTACCACCACACTTCAAGGAGAATGATGTGGATCAGCTTCTGGCTAAGTTCGGGCAGGTTGTGTCCACGCGGATCTTGCGCGACACTCACGGCCATAGCAAAGGTGTCGGCTTCGCAAGAATGGAGTCCAGGGAAAAGTGTGAGCAGATAATTCAGGTGAGTTTTCGCGTTTTAACTATACCTGATAGTACTTACTTACTTACTTACTTACTTACTTACTTGATAGTGTTTCGAAAATACGTTTATAATCTATATCATGCCACGAGAGCAACTATGAAATATTGTTGAGAGTTATAAACTGCAACGGATACTTATACTATATATAATATCCGTACAAATAATTATTTACTTAGCTATTACGCCAATGAGCCTTATGTGTTTATGTAATAACAGTTTAAGTTTTTTGAATCTAAATAGAACTCGTGGTGGTGCCGTGGTAGCTCAGATGGTTAGCGCTCGCTGTAAATATAACAGAACGCGAGTAACCCAGGTTCGAGCCCCGCCGGCACCAATGCAATTGTTAATTGTAATTTTGAGTGCTGATTTACCACGTTTTTGGCGGTGAAGGAATACATTGTGAGAAAACCTGCATGTCTGAGGAATAAGAAAAAGAAATATTTCGAAGACATGTGAAGTTCGCCAGTTGGAGCGGTCACTTCCTTGCCCTAAAACCCTCAGAAATGAGGGGAGGCCTGTGCCCAGCAGTGGGACGTATATAGGCTATAACTTTACTTTACTTTACTTTTACATAAAACTCATTAACACGGCTACCAGACCATAAGATAAGTCAACAGAAGTGCTGTGCAGTTATTAATGTATTTTTATTTGACTGCGACTGCTCTATTTTTATTTTGTATCAAATAGTAACAGGTTTTTAAGGATCAAACCTAGTTTCCAAACATACTATTAACTTTCAAAGCCGATGCTTGTTATTACGGCGTACTTTTATTTGCGATAAAATGAAAAGTTGGGATCAGATTAGTTGCACAATAACAACACATCCAAACTCAAAGGCCGACAATTTGTCTTTTGGAATAAGTGTTATATTCGGATTAAAAGGGTCCGAGACTCATTGAACTACGCAATATATAAATACTATTACAAAGAAATATATTATGATTGGCTGTTCAATAAAATATAGTGTAACGAGCTAAATGTGAAGGCAGTTTTAATCTGTTCTATTGTAAGCAATTGTCAACCATTTATGCTTTAAGGTACGGACAGACGTGCTCATTACTAGCACGAAAGCATGCTTTTATTGAGCAAGTGCTCATTAGTAGCACGTGTGTACACTCATTGCTAGCAACGAACATGCTTATTTTGAGCATACTCAAAAATCAACCGACGTTTGATTTTCGAGCATGCTACCTGAGGTGCGGTTAGAAGGGCGTACTCCGAGTGCGACTGAATTAAACAGGATCGCTTATGAGCATATTTTATCAAATCGATCTCGATTCGCGACAGTTGCAATGTCAATTTATATAAAAAAAAAACTCTCGATATGTCGCGTTGGGGGGAAGAAAAATTTTACTTTTTTTTTCTTACACCATTCGGTTGCAAGCAATATGATTATTTTATTAAGTTATGTACGGATAGCACTGTCACTATATCTTTGTACATCCAATATCGGCCGAGAGCCTGGTGCAAAGCAACACAGCGTGCTTATGAGCATGTGCTTTTTGAGCACGTCTGTACGTACCATTAGTCATAAGGATATAAGTATAGCTATATTTAAATATAGAATAACCCAGTACTTAATATGTTATGTAAATTTTAACTTTTTCAGATGTTTAATGGCAACTCTATACCGGGCGCCAAAGAACCCCTGTTAGTAAAGTTTGCCGACGGCGGGAACAAAAAAAAGGCGCTGTATAATAAGCAAAATGACAACAACGGCAGAGTATGGCGGGAAAACAACGAATCCATCACACAGGTACAACCCTATTTTTTATTATTACATTAGTAAACGTGTTATTTTTATTTTACTCAAGGAGAGGACTCATGGTTAAACAGAATATTCTTGTTATTGTAGATTATTATTTTGCTGTCTTATCTTATTACATACAGTAGTTTATAATTAGTCGCAGGTTTAGGTTTCGATAAAGAAGTCCCACGGAAAATATGCAAAATGTAAAAGTACCTAATGTAAAGTTTGTGATTTAACAGCAATGTCACTATAGCGTTGCACCTTTTGTAAAAAAGACTCGTCTCTTGTAATTAAATGTAGTTTTTACGGATTTTATAACGTATATTATATCTTATATTTCCGACGTTTCGAGCACTTAACAGTACCCTTGATCAGGGGGGTGGGGGTTAGCGAGGATTTGTGGTCTATGAAATCTGATGTAGTGATGTGCATTGTTCGATCCTGTACGTGTTCACAAACTGTTTGCTGCCCCCGTACTACTAATGTGTAGTGTTCGTGTAAATAAGACTCTTCTCTTCTTAATAATAGTTCTTAGCGAGTTTAACTGTAAATCACGTGGTCATAGTGTCTACTATGACCACGTGATTTACAGTTTAGAAGCAGTGATGATAAACTTATTCTGTCTAGAATAAGTTTGTCATCACTGCTTCTAAACTGGTAAAACATTGAGATAAAGGTTTTTTGCCAATATTATTTGAATATCAGTCAGTAGGCAAAGCTTTATGAATTTAGAAAAAAAAATCGACTTCTATGACTTTCTATATTTACGCGAATACTACATTGAATAATACTATTTTTGTCGTATAGGCTTATAACTGTAGTTCTATTATTTAATCTGTACTATAACATTCACGGAGCTATATAAATCCATAGTCATAGAAGTACTGTGTTATAACGAAAATGTAGAAAATTAAGCGATTTTGACTTATTTATTTTACAAATTGCTGCTCTAGAAAACAGATATTATTTTTAATAAAAGCTTCATAGTTTTCATTGCGCTCTAGATTTAAATGAGAGAAAACAAATGTTTTTATTTAACAACAACGCCCAACTGACCATCTGACATGGGAAGTAATATGTGATATATTGTGTATAAAAAGGCTTACCGTGATAATATATCAGTTGTGAAGTCCGCCAACATGAGTCTAGTTTCTTTCCGACTTTAAAAACTTCTTTCTTAAAATCTAGATGATTTGATACTAGAAAGTGCTGTCATATTGTTTAATTAAAAAAAAGATTTTGAAGTAGTTAATCTATACTATATTGTTACGGCTGGGAGTATCAAATAATGCTAAACTTTTAAGAAAATGTTTTATTTGGCATGTTTTTGAGAAGGCTCAATATCCTGCAAAGACATATAGATAGGTACACGGTTATTTTGCAATAACCGGCCAAATTTGTGGAGAAGGTACAGTATAAGTATTATAGACAAATGTTGAAAAAAATTCATTAAAATAAACACCAAACATTCTGTCCTTTCCACCTTTCAAATTAAAAATGCGTGGCAATGCATTATTTGAACTGATTTTACTGATCGTCAATCGGTAGGCAAAAAAGTTATTGCTTATAAATCACGTTCAATTTGGGATAATTTCAAATAAAAATAGAAGTCTTATGTACTCGTATTTTCAAAAACTGTAATAACAGTACATCATTATTCATATATTTGAACTTAAGTTTAAAATTTGGCTACTCTTTGAAAAATAACCCTGTATAGCTGATAATATTTGTCCTGATCCTTCGATTTGTATATCGCAACCCGACTGTGCGAGTGTACGAGATCTGTGGAGACGTTGAGCAGACGGTGTGGTTCCAGGCGATGAGCGTGAGCGGCGTGTACGGCGGCGGCGTGGGCGCGGCGGGCGCGGGCGAAGTGCGCGGGCGTGTACCGCGGCGGCGGCGTGTACGGCGTGGCGTACCACCCGCAGCTGCACGCGCATCCGGCCGCCTGGCTCACGCCGTACGCCGCGCTGCTGCCGCCCGCGCACGCGCACGCGCCACACCACGCGCACGCCGCTCACGCGCCGCACCCCGCCCACATACCCATCGACTCCGTGCCCAGCCAATACGTGAGTGTCAACTGTCCACACACTTCACTATCTGTTATGTTAGTCAAAGAGTTTTGTCGGGAACTTCACTCAAGCGGATTACTGCTCTTGTTTTATTGTATAAATAATGGTTTGAAGTCATTGAAGTAATATGTACTTACGTACTAGAACAGTTATCTCAAACAAAAAATGTGCGCTACTCTGTGTTCGCGCGGTTGATTTTTTTCATCATAGAATAAACATAGGTAGAATGACCCGTAGGTAATAGTAGATTGTATTGTTAAATAGGTAAATTATATCGAGAACAATATTTAAATTTAGTCATTTATTTTGCATATTATATTTGCTTATTTAATATCATATTACATAATATTATATCACAATAACATTTTAATTATATTTTTATCTGTTTATTTTAAAAGGTATCTATGTCAAATATAAAAAAAACATACTAAATGTATATAAAATAACAAAACTTATTAATATAACATTTAAATTACAATTATATTTAGTTAAATTAGAATAAGAGTCGTTCATAAACGCTGGGCGAGAGTTAAAAATGGACGAATTTATTCCACTTTGACTTTGATGTGGAAACCTAAAAATAAAATAAAAGAATAATGAGCAGATTTAAATATAAAAAATGTAGCCTAATCACGATGACTTACTTATATATGTTTCTACAAAAAAAAAACGTGTATAATAATATATTCGTTCTATACTTAACACGTTGACTGCCAAACCCAAAAACGATTTTTTATCAATTTTTGAACCTGCCTTTTTTTGTCTTAATTTTCATTGTTATATAAGATTGTATTTATAATCTTATAGTAAAATCATGTTAAATTATTTTAGTTTTCCATGATATTCCATGATTTTTCATGTGTGCCAAAAAGAAACATGGGGCCCCTGATGAAGCTTTTACTTAAAAATTTCTTTAGAGGCCGTGTGTATACTTTTGGAAACACGCAAGCCAGCAATGAAATTGTCGTTATGAAGTGCAGGCATAAGAGGATTTCAGTGCTGAATGTTTTTGAAACATTCAAAACTGAAAACCGTTGCCGAAAACACAGGAAAATCTAGCATCGACTTGAGTGATCAGACGGTGTCGTACAACTCAGCGTAGATGCGTTGTACAAAATAGTACAGAAATTATTTTTTGAAGTATTGTAGGGTATCAGCATCGTGAATGCTCTATTTTTGTACTCTGAGAATACTCGCAGAAAGGCTCTCAAAAACACAGAATTTAGGGAGGCAGTTATATACGTCAAGAAGACAAAAGCTCACTAACATCAAACAAGCTACACAGACATGTTTTCAATATCAAGGAAAACCCTCCGAAAAAGAAAAAAGGACGTTGTGTCGAAGGCTATAAGATGTATGGAAAGCAAGGAAAACTTGTTGAAGTAAAACGCAAATTTTCCAAACAAACGAAGAGAATGTATATGTACTATGTACAGATCACTTTGACAAGCTCTACTAACTACTTTTTCGTAAAAAAAAAATTACTAATTATACGAGCCTGTTATATTCTATCTATTTATCTACTGTTGATTTTGTGTGTTTCTAAAAGAAATGAGAATAATACAAATAAATGTAATTTCTAAAAGTAGGTGTTTTTTTTTATTTTTGTCATAATTTTTTACCTAAAAGACATATAAAAAACCCACTCGGACCGAAACCTACGTGGAGGCCAGAAGTAAAACATTCCGAAGTAAAATCTATGAAAACGTGTTTCCTAGTGGATACACTGGCCTCGAAATAAAGGGTCGACCGTGTATCCAAAATGAAACACGCGGCCTCAGAATGTAGCATTTTGTGTTTCCAAAAAGAAACACATGGCGCTCAACGTGTTAAGTACCCATAGAAATGTCGCATGTGAACAAATTAATTTCATAATCTATATTCCATGGTACGAAATGGCGTCTCAGGAATAATTTACTTTATTATTAATCTACAATACATTTTTTATTGATTAAGTATCTTATTAACCAATGAAAAGTAATTCCTTGGATTTTTGTGTATTAAATGTTTTCGCACTACTGTTATTGCAAACGATGAAACATGTGCTCCGATAATGATTGGAACACTATCGTCGTCGACTGTCTGGCTAGCTCCAGCTGCCGTCAAAACCTCCCAAAAACTTCGCAATGTGACGTATCAACATAATATTGTGAAGAAGTTTTGTAAATAAATTTTTCTATAGGATAATTTCTTATTAGTTGACACCAGTCCATATCACAACGAAAGAAAGCTGGTGGAAACCGGATGGACATCCTAAATATTTCCATCACTTCAACATTGCGACACCAGTTATGAAATGCTAGATATTGATATACTAGAAGCATTCATTAAGATGTGAGGGTGACTATGTTATAGGCATTTAAGTAATACATATGTACTACGTACTAGAAGCGACACGGGGACTTAGTTGATTGTAATACGTGTTAGAACCCACATGCTCAAGCTCACTTAGTCCTTGCCTTAAAGGTACTTTGTGCCTCATTTCACGCGCCCCGCACTCACACAGATTTTGAACGGTGTCCGTTCTAGTATGTAGTAAATATTATGTCAATGGTTACAGGTAACTTTTATTAAATAATGTCATATTATTTTTAGACCTTGCAATGACGAACTTGTGAGCCGGGTTTTTAGGTGAAACAAAACAATCTTTGCGAGTTCACCTCACTATCTCTCGAAGATTTTGTTGCACAAATGCATTTGTTCTCCATAAAAAGTGAAAGTGTCCGTAACAGTAGCTCCATGATCGAGATATTCAATCAATACTATCCCTTGAAAAATTTATAAAAGACAGCTCATCATCTTGCCTTCTTTTGTTGTATTCGTATGTTATATATACAACCGTAGTCGCAATCATAGATAATAAACTACATAGGACAGTCGCAACACTCATGTGATACAAATGTATTGCATACGTATCGGATTTTCCCCAGCCTTAGAATGTTCTAATCGGATTATGTGCTCAGCAAACATGTGTATGACCAGACTAGCAAATTTTGTGAGGTTTTACCATAGTGAACTAAATACAACTGAATTAAATACGAGTACAATCTTTACCGTCGATCCATAAACATGCACTCCGTTTCCCATCAAAGAATGTGAACGTGTAGATAAGCTGTGCTAATCTAGGTCTAAACAACCTCGTAATGAAACTGATTGTCCAGCGAATACATGAGTGTCGCAGAACATAAAATTTCGCAGGCCTAACCTAAACTATGCTGTAATCGGATTAAGTTAAATAAATCTACGTAAAAGTGATTTCCAATAAAATTATTTTATGGCGTTATATTTCAACTTATTTTCAATTTCGAAAGTTTAAAGTGATTTGCATCAGGTGATCTCTAGGTAGAGTGATTGCAATTTAATTTCCTCGTGACTGTGGATGCTAGATTACACATGAATTCTCAAAAGTTTAAGAATATACAATTAACACTATAAAACGCAACTAAATCCGTAAAATTATCTCTTTTCTATAAAATGGTGGGGACAGCACATAAAAGAAATTTATCGTAAAGTTTATGTCTTTGCAGCCTCCTTGCGTAGATTACGACATTTTCTTTCCATTTCCACCAAAAGTATGCTTGCCAAGTCCCTTCTTTTCCCTATTTTTGACTATGCGGGCGTCAGCTATCTGGATCTCACCGAAGCCCAGCTTGATAAACTTGAGCGAATTCAGAATATCTGTGTAAGGTTTTATTTGGGTTGCGCAAATATGACCATGTCTCTCTCTCTCTTTCGTACTAAGCCCAAGTGGTTGCCAATACGACTTCATCGGAATGCTCACATATTCATTTCTCTTTAATCCTCTTACCCTTCTTACCTCAAAAATCGTTTTGAATTTTTTCGTGACTCCCATTCGCGTAACCTGAGATCAGCAAAGAGCTAGAAATTGAATATGCCACTACACACTAGTAAATTTATTTATGAACGATTCTTTTACTGTACATGTCGTTGGTTTATGGAATGAACTCCAAGTCAATTAAACGCGCACCATCCCTACCGGTATTTAAAAAACTTGTAAAGATTTATCACCTTGCACTTTTAATTGTAACGTCGCGTCGCTTCCACACTAGCCATTAAATATAGAATTAAATTTGCCACACCCTTGTCATCTTTGTGTAAATTTTAATCAGCAATAAGACCGCCCGTTCTTTGCATACTTCCTTTGTATACATAATCTGTATTTTTTGTATGGTGTGCAATAAAGAATATTAAATAAATAACTTAAAATAGCATCTAAAATATAGCAACTCTTAGTTAGTCCGGAGAACTATAATTAAAAACATTAACACGTAGGTAAATGAAAATACAGACCGGTAACTAAGTACTACTACAACTTGATATACGAGTAATAATTTGAAATTCTTAACTATTTGTGGCTTAGGGTTAAAAGTCTACTTTTAAATAACAATCGATGAATTTCACAAAAGATTCGTTTGGACAATCAGCAATTTCACAATACAAAAATACGTCTTAATTATTGCAAACGAAATAATATTTCGCATTTGACACAATAGTTTACTGCACTGTACTGTACTGTTGTAATATCCGTAGCCGCTTCAATGTAACGTTGGAAATGAATATACAAAAACGGCCGACTTTGAATATCAAAGAGGAATATTCAGTCAAAATAAAATAAATAACAAATGACTGAATTCTTTTCCTTTTCCAGGTAAACTGGGACAGCTTAAGGCCGGAAAATGAATTATACGTGAGTTATCTTAAACTTGTCAAATTGAACGCTCTTAAGAAGTTCAAAACCTGTCCCCTTGCCTAATCCTAGCCTAATCGCCGTTTAAATAACTATTTCCGCTTTGAACATTAAGCGTGAAGAATTGTTGCACAAAAGTAATAACGAATGTAATGTGGTGTTTCAGTATTTCCCGTCGCATCCGTACCAGTTCTTCGCGGGCCCCACGCCGCCGATCATCCAGATGCCGATGGAGAGCGAGCACGCTTCCACGGCGGCGTCACCCGACGAGGCCTACCAGCCCTACCCTCCACCCAAGTAGACCATAAGCCACGCTATAATCCATGCTGTACACGAGCCAAAAATCAAAGCAACTGTGACTTTTTACGATGTTAATTTGTTTTAGTTTTAATTTGCGGCCGTTGTAGACTTCATCGAAAGCTCTGCTCCGCGGCGCTCTGACGTCGCCGGCGCCTAGATTTTAAGCCTAATTTTACTCGGCACTTATCGCCTTGGCTATTTTTTTTCTCGACGGGTTTCGTCCCGGTCCTTTTAGCTTTATGCTGGACGTTCGATTCGCTGTGATGTTTTGATGAGGTCTTTTGACGGTTCGAGGAAAGGATTTGATGTATAATAGAATATAGCTGCAATTTTAAATGTGTTTTGACATTATAATTTTATTATTGTTTTATGAAAATCTAAGATTTAGGCGCAGGTTTTAAACACGTTGACAAGATTATTTAAGATAGTTAGGTATTTATTTTAGCATAGTATAATTTCACGATTAAATTTTAAAATTTAGATATATCCTCAGATCGGGAATGAACATTTTTATTTTTGATTCAGTGTCATATATTGTAACAGGATTTTTAAATTGCGTAACAAGCACATGAAACTTTGATGGTTATGAACAAAGAGCGTGGAATCAGGATTTCTTTATCTTTTAGGTTGACAGATTCAAAATATAAATTTTTGTAAATTTATAATTTGGGGGATAGAAAGAGCAATATCTAAAACGGTAGAGGATGAAAAGATATAATATTTGGAAAATGTCATATCATGTTGAAAAAGTTTATATCTACTAACGAAAATGTAAAGGCTAAAGAAATGACTTATGTATGTTATGATTAGGAAAGATAAAGACACCGATTAGATCTTGTGCATAAAATTATTGGGAAGATTTAGAATCTTCTTTTGAGATATAAGTATTTTTAAAATACAGGAAAGTTTGTCTTTTTAATGTCACGTTGTAGTTAGAGGGCAAAGTATGAACAAAATGTAATCACTCGGGGAATGATATGGTAAAGGATAAGTTGATATTTAAGTTTATAACACCTGCGGGGATAGTGGATGGAATTATGTGTGTATGTACGTCCAAAATATTTGGAATGGTGCTTTAATCGTTTTATTTAAAAATGGTTTTATATCAATGAATAATACAGTATTACCTACATTAAAACACTACTGGTGGTGCAGTCTTCCATGGATCGCAAGTACCTAATTTTAAAGCATTTCAAAGTATTCGTATTTATTATCTTTGTGTAATAACTTTCGATTTTCTGTGCCTGTACATCTCGGCCGCTCAAGTCTTAAAACTTGCTATCTACCTAACAACCTAAACTCAAAATTTAAAAGACTATATCGCATACCCACAGATCTCAACTATGTTGTACACGTAGCTTAGCCGTGTTGCTTTGTCGGTTTCAAAATGGAGGCTTTTTGGCATATTATATTTTTGAAATTAATAGGTAATTTTACAAGGATAAATACTCTTTCCGTATTGATAACGTCGTTGCCAAACCATTCAGACTGAATTGTATACCGTAAACTTCCAATAAATTATTTCCTTATCCATGTTTTAATTGATACAAAAATAGCGTTGAAAATAGTAGCAGCCCTTAGAGAAGCCCGGCAGGGCTCAGGGCTCAGGGCTTAGGGCTCAGGGCTCAGGGCTCAGGACTCAGGGCCTCACACGTGTACGACTTGCTGAGCAGGTGGTTGAGTTCCGAAGGTGAAATCTGTTCTCGTGTGATGCAGCAGTGCGGATGATACGGTAACATTTAGCAATAAGCAGTTGTATTTAAAGTCTATTTATACATTTTACGAGTCTATACAATTTTTGTACGTTGAAAATTCATGTTTGATGAACATGAATAATGAAGTGATCCTTTTTTGAGAATCATGTACTGAATGAAGCGTAGTTGTTATTTTTAGGCAGTCGGCACATTCCACTAGACAACTTCAAACAAAAATTCCACGATTGATTTCCACATTATAAATTGTGAAGGATTCGAAATCCGATGTGTCAGTGCTATTTTGGCGTAATCGAGCACATTTTGTACCATCACGTAGGTTTTGGGTACACTTTATGACTTTATATGAAATTTCATATTTTTATATTGAATATATATAAATTATACATGGATATGTATACATGTATATACATTGTTGATGGGTACGAGTAAAACCTACTATATCGCAACTGTTTAATTCTATTTTGGCACGACAAGAGTTTCATCAGAACCAAAGTATACAAATCATTAAAATCGAGTAAGATGTAGGAAACTATTTATACAACTCAGGGACTGAAGACTAGATAAATGTTTGATATATTAACTGTATTTTAACTGACGTCTAAGCGACAAGCTCTTTATTCAAAACCTGTGGACCGACGAAATTAAAATACAGGAACTGAGATTAGCTTATAACAGGTTTTGAATGAAAAACATAGATTTTGAACAAACGAGTAGTACCTACTGCTTTCGTTTGTTTTACAATCAGGGATAAGCTGAGATATGTACTGTTGTTTCGTGAATGAACAAAATTACTTTTTCGTAATAATAGCTATAGAATTGCATAAAGAAACGACATTCGTAAAGTTCATGATACATAAGGTATGTTCCGAAATATTTCCAGTATACTGGCAAATGCAAATGACGTCATTAATTGACGGCATGTTCCACCATATTCGTTAAAACGAATCACCAGAATGGCATCGATTTATGAAATCATTTGCATTGGCCAGTGTACTGGGTTGTATTTCGGAACATACCCATAATCGCAAAATAAATTTAAATATAAAGGCTTTTATTTACCTTCTATAAACGACGCACCGGGGCATGGTGAAGCAGTATTCTAAAGCTGTAATGAAAGGGTCGTTTACCACAATCAACTCTCGTGTCATGCATTCGCATTAAACCCGCGCGTCATGAAGGCAAATGAAAAGTGAGATTTTTATTAGCATTACATTCGACTGAACAGTACTCTAACAATACTCCGTAGATCTGTCTTATTATCGTTATAATTCTTGATCAAGCCAAATTTATGGAACTGATGCAATACCGCCTTTACTTCTTGTGAAAATTTAATAACCAAGAAGTGCAATGTACCAACAACCAAGTTTGGTACTTAGTTAAGTAATTTGATCGTTTAGTGTTCAACGTACACTGTGGCTTCCTGTTAAAGCAGTCTTCCGATAGATATTTCCGCTTATATTTTCGTTTAAAATCAATGTCAAAATATTATAAACATGAATTAATTTTACTAATATGTATAGTATTTTATATCTATAAATATGCTCCTATTCTCTAACAATCGTTCGTTAGTATCCACAAAGTATACCAAAGTATACACTGTATCCACAAAGTATACCAAAATATTTTGTCTTACTTTTATATTGGAGTAATCACGTTTATTTAATTCCAAAGTTGAACAATGTTCCCGTAAATACCAAGTAAATAATGTTATTGATCAGGACAAGTGAACGTGATTTATTTTAAAGCAATTTGTAGCTTAGATAGTTGGGCACGATCCTGTAGCGTATAAAGTAGTGATTACACCGTCAAAGGCGAAAATAATACAGCTAAAAATTATTTTTCTAATGCTTTCCTTCCATTATAAGCAATAAAATTGATTTCATAGTAGTGCCTTCAGCTTTGTTTAAATACTGAACAGATGCAGATACAATATTGTAGCTGCATACGCTTTAAAAATATTTTTACAGGTAATAGAGAACTTACCGTGTTCGTAACATAGTAGTCGTAATGATTAATGTTTTTTGTAATAACAACTTAAAAAAAAGATAATGTGGCTGTCTAATCGTTGCATTTTTCACACATGATGTAAAAACTGAACTTGAGAATAAATTTGTAGATGTTCCTAGTTAAACTCACTTCAACAATCTTGACATGTGTGATAAATTTCTTACAATGAGATTATGGACGACGTTTCGTTAACAATGTAGTGAGAACTATAAAAATATAACAAGAGCACAAAATGCATATTGGGGAACCAATTCCTGGAAATCAAAATTTTAAATTTAAAAAATCATGTCGAGGAATAGAGTTGAAGTGTTAAGTAAATGTTTTAAATTAAGTCATTTAATTTAAGTGATCGTGCGGATTGTTTTGAAACTGAAATTTGGAGATTTACCTAGGATTGGTCACGAATTGAAGGCTAGAAATAAGTTAACTAGGCTTAATTATAGATAGGTTAGAATAGTAAAAAATGTTTTGACGCTAAGATAAATAGAATAGGAGTCCTAGAATAATATATTTGTTGGCGGTGTGGGGCGTGCACGCCTCGTGCCGACTCTAGGGTAATTTCCTTTGTTAGTTTATTAAATAATTTAATTTGAATGGACTGAAGTCGGCACGCAGTGCGCATGCGCCGCACTCGCCCTAGCTCATAAGGAAATCTAAGAAAATTAGTGAACACATTCTTGAGATAAGTTTCGGTTGAACAAGTTTGCTTTCACCTTTTGTTATGTAGTTGACTAAGTGTAAAGAAAGAAAATTAATTGACAAAAAAAAACTCTCAGAAATGTCGATACGATTGTACTTGTCCAATGTGTATTAATATAGAGTGGTGTTCTACCCAGCAGACTAGTCTAGATAGTAGCATAGTATAGACAAAATTTAGTTAGGTAGCCTAGGAATACGAAATGCAAAAAATAACTTCATAAAATGTAAAAAAAAGAAATGAAATTGTTGGTAAGAAAGAATATTTTTAAGGGACATGTTGCTTCGTTGTGTTATGGTGTGAGGTTTGGCATAACTATGATAATAGTGTAAAAGCATTTCTCGCAGAGAAAAGACATAGAGGGAAGTTATGTATCTATTTTGTTACAAAGTGTTTGCAAGTTTCTATATAGTGCTATGAGCATTTTATGTGACCCGCATTATTTATAGTTATGCTGAATGGAAATTAAAATAATATATAAATAAAAACAAAATGGTACTAAGAAGCATGTTTTATTGTGACGAGTCATGTTCCTTCGCATTGAACATATTTTGTAAGAGCAAATGATTGAAATAAAACAAG